AACAAATGTGCAAATGTGTTTGACACAATGGATGTATATATGGATTGTGATAAAAGTTGTATGAGTCCCTAATAAATGATTTTTAAAAAAGTATACTCCATTTTAGAACATGGTATACTGAAAATGGATGGTCTTGGGGAAATGACAGTATCAATCAAAATGATGCTAATAATTAAAATTAAATTAAAATATCAGTTGATTAAATTAAAAAGATCAGTTGATTCTAAACTGGTATTAATGTAAATCAGTAATTTTACCTGATTTCCAACTTTGCTACTTCAGGTAGCTCTCCAAATTTTATCTCTTCTACCATTAATTCTTTAAGAGCAGACAGAATTTTCTGCTGGTCTTTATTTGTAATTCCATTCTATACATTAAAAAGGAAAAGTGTATTAACAAGGTTTTACTTGAATAATTTAATATTCAAAATTACTAAAGAATGTTTCTGTTTGGTTAATTTACGTCTTGGAAAAATAGATACATATTGGAATAATAACAAGTATGAAAAAGTCTATGGCTTGCTGTGATGGGCAAGGTTAGTTATATAATTAAAATAGTAACCATATAGTGCCTACAGTCAATTATTTGAAATAAATACTAATGACGATGTGCTATAAAAACTAAATCCTATATTTTAATATACAAATCCTTCACATGCCCACAGGAAAATGTTTTCATCCTCCTAAAATATGAGTGCTACACTCAGAAGCCTTTGTGACTCAAATTTTAATAGTAAATAAAAATTTCTAACATACTTATTCAAGTAATGCAGTTATTTTTATTTTTGTTGATGCATATTTCATGTTTTGAGTGTACTTACGTAACAAAATCTTAACGTATTTGGTATGATGTTTATGAAAGTATCTCTACTTTTCAGTTATTTTGGTTACTTAAATTATTAAGTAAAATAATAGGTTTTCATAGTTTTGGGGATCCCAGAAATAAAAGACATGTTTATATCCACACCCATAAAAAACATCTCTTAATTCCAAGTCGTCTACTGTTGGACCAATCAATTTCACATTCAGATACAAATCAATTACCAGTTCTAGTTATGATGTGAAGACAAGCTGAATAAAGGTAAAAATAAAAACTTTTTAAGAACTCTAAGTCCTGAACATTCTTAAAGTAAATACTTGAGCAGAAGAACTGAATTATGGCAATCCATAGTTGGAGCACTGGTGGTGCAGCAGTTAGAGCACTCAGTTAATAAGCAAACGGTCTGCATTTTGCTGCAAGGGACAGATGAGGCTGTTTGCTTCCGTAGAGATTTACAGCCTTTTCCAAACAGAAATGTTTGTTTCTGTCCTGTGACAGTCACTAAAAGTTGAAATAGACTTAATGACAATAGGGTTTATTTGACATCTAACAACAAATTCCCTCAAAGTCAAAACCAAACTCACTGCCATTGAGTCGCTTCTGAATAAAGAAACCAATAAAGGGTTAACTAGTCTGTGGTTCAAGGGTCTTTTAAAACAGAAAACAGGATATATGATTAAAGCATGAAAGAATATGTCTAAAGTTTCTGAAACGGATACTAACCTTTAAAAATTCATCTTTTTTCATGGTCATAAGGTGTCTTAAAGATATATCCCTTTCCTACAGAAAAGGAAAAATAAACCATTGTTCAGTATAAAATAGCTTACGGGGAAGTTGATCAAGATATTGTAAGCTAGTTTTATGTTCCACTTTCACCTTCCCCTCCCTAGAAGGGCTAGGACATGCAGATGTACAACAATCTCCTGGGAAATTAGTAATTAATGCTACAATACTCAGATTCACTTACGACGATGAGCATATCTAGTTTTCAGACGCAGAGAAAATACTATAGTTATATGCATGCACGAAAAGCACACGATTGCTAGAAGTTATGCTTTATGAATATGTTGTGTTTCTAATTGTACCAAACCATCAATAAGACTTCTTTTATGGCCTACTTTCCCAAAAGGAAGATGACCCAAGATAGTATAACACAGCCCCTGGGAAGCATACAGACGGAATGTACGTCCTCCGGAGAGCCTGTGGCAAATGAATGGTACTTTAGTGTTTGGTGCCATCGAGCCCGTTCTGACTCAGAACCACCCTACATACAGCAGAGCGAAACCCTGCCCGGTCCTGGGTCAGCCTTGCAGCCGCTCTACGTTCACGCCCATCACTACCGTCTTTGCCTGCTTGTAGTGCTTCGGTCTTTCTATTGTGCTTATGACTGTCAAATCACACAACGACAGTGCTTGGGCTTTAACCTAATTCACTCTTTCCAAGACCTCCACTCTAGGTATTACTGTCTTATGGGAAAATTAAAAAAAGGAAAGAAACGGAAAAGATGATCTAATGTAGTATATCAGTTAATAATCATTGGAATAAAATTGTTGTGATTTGTGATCACAACGTGATTTGTCTGATTAAAAACCAGGCTTCTGTGAATATTCTCTACAGGAAGCTCAGGAGCTGGAATAAACTATGGGCTCAGACCTATTAGGAGGAATTCTGTGAAGGTAATGGGTAAAATTACATGAAAACCCATCGCGATCTTGTCAATTCCGACTCATAACAACCCTACAGGACAGAGTACACCTGGCTCCATGGTTCCTAAGGCTGTAAATCTTTATGGGAACACACTGCCACATTTTTCTCCCCAAGAGGCTGATGGATTTGAACTGCTAACTTTGAAGTTAGCATCTAAGTGCTCAATCATTGCACCACTTGAGCTCCTAAAATGGCTTAATCCAACCATTTTAGGAGTATATGAAATTTCTAGAGATAGATTTAGCAGTGCTTATTAGACATTTAAAATAGGGTCTAATACAAATTTGAGGTGTGGTATAATGGCTATAAGTCGGGCTGTGATCTAAGAGGCCAGTAGTTCGGACCACCAGCCATTCCAAGGAAGAAAGACATATCTTTCTACTCTATGAAACAGTCACAGTCTTGGAAACTCACTGGGGCAGTTCTACCCTGCCGACAGGGTCGCTGCAATTTGGCATTAACTTGATGGCAGCTGCAAGAGTGAGTAATACAAATGAGAGGAAAGTGTCAACACAACTGACACAGGCATGCTTATGAATAAAACAATGTTTTTAAATAACAAACATGTACACAGTTAACTGTAAATTAACATATGGAATATTACCTTTAATAAATCTGTCATATGTTCAAGTCCAAGACCATGTAAAAATAAGTCCAACTCTCCAAATGCTGTGTATGAACTAAGAATATTTATAGCAATGTCAACTTGAGCATAGAACAATACATGCATACATTCAGAAAGGTTTCAGAGAGAGATTAAGCATGAATCCATGCAGAATTCATTTGTAAATTTACATAGGCCTATGCTTTATCAAATGAGCAAGGTTTCTTGAATGAAGATGAGAAAATATTGATAAAATGTAGTTTATCTTTCCTAAGGATATTTGCCAGTATTATTTGCACACAAAATGTCTTTAATTGTAACAAATGAAAATTAAGTGATAATTTTAAAATGTATAGAATACGCCTATGGCCTTATAATGCAAAACTGTATTTAGGAAAAGATACAACTCTTTAATTTTGACTTATAAAATCAGAAGAGTACTAAAAAGAATGAGATAGATGCAGTACTTTTAACACTAACATAAATACAATCCTAGAATCTTTTAGAAATAAATGTTATTAATGTAGTTTATTTAAAGTAAAGTTTACATTTAAAGTCAATTTACTTTGAAAGTTTACATTTAAAGTTATGTTTAGTGTTGGTAAAAATCAATGTAACTCTTCTGACACTCTGAGGAATAAAGTACTGATATTTCCAAGCAGTATTAAAAAATGGCTGTAAAAGTATAAAATGTTTTTAAATAAATCACCTCATTTATCACAAGTAACAAAAACATGCAGATTTTCCTCATTTAGAAGTTATTTGTTTGAATGGAAACATGTCATGTTACCTAAATAAATTATCTTTTTCTTTATCACAATCTGTTGCTAACATTTTACAAATAGTCTCTTCTTTAGTTAGTTGTTGAATCTTTCCTTCCAGTGGATTTAATGTCAAAGAAAGTAAGCTGAAGATCTGAAAAAGTTAACAAGCCATTCAAATAGTTAATATCACTTCCACTTAAAATAAACCAAACATATTATTTTATATGGAGAACATTGCTTAGAAAGGAAATTTTAGCTTTGGAAACATTTAGCAAAGGAAACATTGCTTAGAAAGGAAATGTGAGAGCAACAATAAACACCTTTACACCTTAATATTCTGAGAACAGTTATAAAATCAACTATTTTCTTGACCTAAAAGAATAATCAGAAAAGAAAAAAGGACAGCTAATAGTAAAAAATAGTAAAAACTAAAAAGTACATACGCTGATGATAATTAACTGTATTCCCAGTAAGATATAGAATGCAAAGCTCCATTTGATAAGCAGCTCATAAAGATGAGATACTAAGTTTGTCTTAAAACACATGTACACTATGGAAAAGTAGTATGTAAGACTAAATATCCACAAATCCTAACCGTTCACCTCAAAGAGACAGACAGTGACAACTCGTAGACATCTAAATTCTCAGGAGACCATGGTATGCCACATAAAATGAAATGTAATCAGCCAAAACACAAGCTCAAATGCCACTTTACCGAATGACTGATGACTTGCAATACGTAACCTTTGATACTCACACACTGCTTTTTGGTCAGATTTGGTATTACCTCCCCTAGATCTAATAATGCAGATTTAGTACGCCAATTATAACTTTTCAAGTTTTTTAAAATTAGAAGAAACACTGTAAATTTCTTCTAGAAGTACCACAGAACTTTAGTGATTAACATTATTCTACAATAATTTTGGAAATGTAAGTATTACTTGGAAAATGGTAGTACTCAGATTGCTTAAGAATGTCTTTCATGTGCAGCTCCAAGTCACAGTGCCGAACGACTGCATGGGGCCTCTTTGGAAAACCATTTCAAAGACTGAAACGCAGTTTTAGGCAATCTTGAGGTACTTTTTTCCCTCTAAGTCATAGTTTGGGTGAAAAAATTTACAGAGCAAATGAATTTTCCCTTGTTTTGTTAAATTTGTTGCAACCCCTCCATATAACTTGGTTTTAAGATTGATTCAGTTTAGAATTTATAAACCTTTGCCCCAAAGCTTTAATGGTCGGAGCCAATGTTTATACCCATCATCCTTTTTCCAATAATCTTATTTATGGAAAATACTTACCATTAACTTTAACATCCAAATAACAGCTCATATACCCACATTTATTAACATGAATCATTTGCCTTGTCACATATAACACTGCTTAACATGGTTTCCATTTTGTTTGAGGCGATCTTGCGTGTGTCGCGAAGAGCTTATGGAAGTTTCGGTTCCCTTTTCCAGCCATTCCGACTAGTGTTTAGGTCGTTTAGCAAGAAATCTGGAGGGTTTTTAGGGCTGTGACCCTTCTCTTTTTAAAAAGTTGTATTCAGTATTATTTTCCCCCTTTTATGTGTGGAGTATCACACACACAAAGGAAAACATTATATATGACTGTACAGCCATCTCATCAAAATAGTGAGGGCATCCCAGTAAACCCCTGTGGATGTGGTTCTTTCTATCTTTTTTTTCCCTTTTCCAACCAACCCTCTCTCCTTCCCCGCCTTGTAGCTTTCTCCCCCTCTCCTCTACACCCCCACTCCCAATCTCTGGCCTCGTCATAGTCTTCAAAGTCTTTTCTTTTCATCTTTTTTTTTCTTTTGTCCTTTTATTAATTATGGTGTCATGAAATATTTATTTTTATGAGACTAACTTGGCTGAATATAAAGTCCTCCATTTTGTCCATGTCAGATAAGAGTTCAGTTTTTAACTTGACTAGTATCTATGAATTACAATAGCAAAACAGTGCTTCAATTATATGTTCAAATCTTGACATTTTACTACTTTCTCGATACACTAATATTTAAAAGTTGGGACCAGTGTCAAATGGCTAATTAAATAGCATTCAACAACTTTATTTCTGGGGACAGAATAAAAGTTTATTATTCCTTTATATAACCTTTATATCACATTATAAATATCGGTGCCTGCCTAGTTAATAAAAGATGAATAAAAAATAAAGTTTCATTACCTAGCGGGAGAAAAAATATTGTACATATTTAAGTGTTTAATAATAGCCAGATGCCTTATTTTACTTGTGAGTTCTAACAAAATAACACAAAAGTTCTACAAACAACAGTGTAACATGTAATACAAAAATACATAGAAGGATACCTCTGGATGTTTATTTCTATTTGCAATCTCACTTGGTGTCTTTCCATCTTTGGTTTGTAGCATTTTATTAGCTCCAAGTTCAAGCAACTTCAAAATAACATTTTTATGACCCTGATATGCTGCCCACGTTAAAGCCTGCAATTAGGGGGTGGGGGGAGAAATACTGCTGAAAGAGAGGGAGCATGTATGGTATAGAGAACAAGAGTTTTCACTCTATCTATGACACAATAAAAAAGTACCGTATGCATGGCTAATTAATGCAATGACGTAACCCCTTCATTCAACAATAACATATTCCCAAAGTTTGACTACAATGCAGTCTGCCAGTGCTAATTTTATAAAAAGTAACTGTTTTACGAAGCCAAATGATGTCACCTTAATTGTTTAGGCACTTTCTATCAAGTCAAACCAAACCACACCAAGCACAAAACAAACAAGTGCCCCAAGTTCACTCCCATCAAGTGCATTCTGACTCAAGGCACCCTGGTAAGACAGGGTAGAACTGCCCCTGCAGGTTTCTAAGGCTGTAAACCTTTATGGGGGTAGAAAGTCTTCCCTTCCTCCCATGGGGCACTTGATGGGTTCAAAGTGCAGACCTTGTGGTCAGCAGCCCCGTGCATAACCCACTGCCAGGGCTCCCTCCTCATAACCCAGGCTTTCTGCCGAGGCTTCTTCTGTCAGGAGAAGGGTCCAAAGGAATCAATTATGTTCTTTTACTTCAGCTGGGCTTTTTCTTCACCAGAGAGCACTTATATCCCAGTCTTTCTGTAGTGACTACTATTTTAAACTCATTTTGTAGATGGCCAATACTAAGCTCTATCTGCCTTCCAAAGAAAAAAGGAATATGGTAAACGTGATTCTCACAGTGTAGCCATTCTCATCCTGGGCATTAACTTCTGCTCCATGCGCAACAAGAAGAGCAACAACCTGAGGGTGACCACCTCGGGCAGCATACATGATTGGAGTCATCTGTCTCCTACGGAGGACAAAGAAAGAAGCAGTATCAGTTGCTCCATTTGGTTAATTTAATCATTCATATTACCATCAGTTTTGCTTTGACAGCAAGTCAGGTGATGTAAAAACCCAACTGCTCAACAAGAAAATAGAAAGATGACCCCTTAGTGATTAAATGTTTACACAGCGCCCTCTAGTGAAGACACTGTGAAAATAAAATAAAAATCACTAAGGTATGAAGTGATTCACATAAAGTATTATTTACCTTTCATAGAAAGCTTCAGAATACCAATCAGGAAGAATGAAAAACACAAAAGAATGTCTCCAAGGTATGCTCATACTAAATGCTTATTACATTTTGTACAAACTCTGAAATAGAAAATTAAGTAGATACAAAGCTTCCTTGTTTCTTCATGCAGTCTACTATGATTCTACCTTGGGACTGAATGTTTTTACTGAGTAGAAAGGTTTTTCTCATCAAGAAACAAGTAGTCCAACAGTTTAACTTGATTTTCTCAGCATGACTATGAAGGTATTTTCTGGAAGAACACAGTGATTTTTCTCCAGTGAACCCTTATCCATAGGATTCAACCCCTTTACTCCTGTAAGTCTGTCAGCCTCTAAAGCTATTCTCAATGTCTTAGGCTGGGTCCTCTAAGGAGCAAAACTACTGAAGTACATACTTCAAGGACATGGCTCATGCAGTTGTGGAGGCTGGCAAGCCCCCAATCCGTGGGCCCAGGAATGAGGCTGCAGGCTGCTCCAGACTCACATGGTTGCAGGGGCTGATGGACACAACGTTAGCAGGTGAGATGGCAGGCAGGCTGCTAGCTACATCCACAAACCACAGGTCAGAGGATGATAAATTAGATGAAGAATTGAGAGAGGGAGAGCTTTGCCAGCTTTCCCATTATCTTTTGATTCTATTTTTCCATGAATTTTTAGAAGCCCCCGTGGATTGGACACATGTCACATCCCCAAGGAAGTTCCCCTTTCAACTTCTCACTCACATCGAATCAAAAAACGGATTACATAATAGCTGCCACAACACTGAGAATCCTGGCTTAGTCAGGTTGAAACACAACCTTAACTATAACACTCTACAACACCATAAAGATTCTATTTTTTCAATTGGGGCTGATCCTGGTCTAGATTCTGGGCCCAAAATTCTTGAGTCATCCTCACCCGGTAACTGATTTATAGTCAAAGTACTTCAGAAAAGCACAACAAATTAAATAATTTTTAAAAAATCTGTGTTCTCTCTCACTAAAGAAACACATTACTCACATCATATACAATTATCTATAAATAGATGACTTCTCTATAAGATTAGCATGAGTTATATTCTCAATCTGATCTACATTTTAAAAAGTCATTTTATTGGGGTCTCACACAACTCTTATCCATTGTGTCAAGCACATTTGTACATTTGTTGCCATCATTTT